ACTGTCATTACTGACATTTATAGCTACAGCAGTTTTCAGCACAAATACAAAAAAACCTGATCAAACTTCAGTAGCCTCCCACCCAACAGCAGACAGACATAGTTACTGAGCAGCTTGTGGAAAAAAGTGGGCAGCTTAATAGCCTCATATTTTACTTTTTGGAGAACAAATCTGAACTTAAATGGCAGTGAATGGACTTCCATTCACTTGGTGGACGACGAAAAACACAAATTACACTTATGTTGTTCCGTGTCTACTAAGTGTTTTAAATAAGCACTTCTTTCCCAACAACTTTGACAAATAACTGTTTGTTTGTTTCTACATTTTCGAAACCTACCGAGAAATGCGATGGTTTCAGATGAAAGCAGGGCAGAAGACAGCAGTTATGAACAGAACTCCAGTTGTAACACCGACTTGCCCGCGTTTGGAATTCAGAGCCAGCACTAGAGAGAAAAACCACAAAAAAAAAAGAGAAACAGGATGCCATATGTGATGATGAGATGGTCTAAGGCGCTGCTCTTTACAGCTTGATGGGAGAGTGTGTTGCAGCCAAATGTTGCCAATGGATACCAAGTGCAGTCCCATGCTAGATATTGTAGTAAACTGTAAAATATGCAACTTGTGAAACAGGTGGGGAAGTATGGAGACGTAGCAGCAGTGCCAACACCGAGGGGAGGGAGAGTTAACGGCTTCATCCAAAGACGTTTCGCTTCCAGACAATTTCTGTCTGATCAGTAATCAGTAAAAGACAAATTCCAGTTTGTCTTTACTGTAGCTTGAACTCTGGTAATGACTTTCTGAAGTGATTTGTGTCCTTTATAAACACAACTCATTTGCGCCGTGTGATCTGACTTCATCTCCTGGCTGTAATCTCATTAGAACCAGACACTCGAGATGTGTGGAGAATGCTACATCCATAAAGTGCTGCATTTTGGCTTTCTAGTCCCACTGGTCCAACCCCCTGGAACTCATTTGTTATAATCATAGACATGACTTTCATGCCTATTAATACTGTGGCAGTGGAGCTCTACCCTTATGTGTATCCCCCGCTTTGTCCTTCCTTTCAGCATATTCTTGAAATGGTGACAAAGTGCCAAAGGAGGCATGTGGCAGCGTTGGTTGGACTATAAAGGTTTACATTTGGCAACCACTGTCTGTATCCACTATGCTCAACACAGGGAGCAGCTGCTGAGAAATCGCACTGTTACTTCAGCCCATCATCACTAGCCCCAGGGCATTCATAGGCCAGTCTGAGCTTGGCTTCAGGGCTATAGGGGAGGGAGTGCACTTAACTCTGCTGGCTGAAAGAGGCTTTCTGTACCAGGGGGAATCTGATATGGACACCAGCTTGGCTGCAGGAACTTAAGTGAGATAAATTGCAAAGTAGTTAGTCTGTCCTTTGGAGTTGAAGGTAACAGACAGAGGTTTATCTCGCAGGATATGCCCGTAGTCGCGCGTTCTTCGGGGGCAGTGTGGCAGGTTTACATCCTGAGGTTAGACCTGGAGAAGATAACGGTAGCATGGGAATATTGAGATGCAGCGCGGTGTGCCGCCGCATCACACGTGCTGCGGTGTTTAGGAAATGTTGGAAGCATGTGCAGACAAAGGGAGACTCTCAGACACGCTCTGAGTTTGGCGGAAAAAAAATTGTTTGGTTACATTTTACAGAGATTGGTAGTAGAACCAAAGGTGAAGGACTTTGTTTATTGTGTAGCTGTTAAATATTTTCATTGAAACTTTAAATACTTTCATTCTTATTACTTTTTGTGCTGTGGCTCAATTCCGACTTTAGAATCATTTTCCATGAGAAACACTGGAAATAATGAATCATTTTTTGTGTTTTTTGTTTTGCATTGTAATAACGTGGCCTGCCAAAAGTGAGAACACTGACAATGTAGAGGCGGCTTTTTTTTTCTTCTGATAATCACACCTAGCATTACTGATTACTTTTTAAATATTCTTTTCCACCATGATTTTACCTTGATGACTTGTTGCTTTATAAATGTGTGTACTTGTCAGCATTTTGTGTTGCCATTGTCAGTATTTCCTACAATGGGGGAAAAAAGGACAAAAGAAAGCAAAAACAATCTTGTTAATTTCACTGTGCTGTAGCCATTGTTTGCAAATGAAGACATGTTGTGCCACCTTTTCGTAAGCTGTTACACTTCTTGAGTGGTTAATCTGTAAAAGCAACAGTTCACATTAGGTGTTTTGTCAGTTACCAAAGAATCAACCCAGGACTCGCTACATGTAAACGTCAGCTGCAGTTATCAAAAGCATTCTGGAAAATGGTGGGAGAGAAAAAAAAAAAAAAAACATGCCAACTGAAGTGGAATCAGAGGAGACAGCTTGATGCAATGGGAGGAAAATCAATTACCAATCACTGCAGTGCAGAATAACTAGAATCTGTTAGTGAATGATGATATATAACATTGGATGTATCCAACAGGTTGTGCATCCAGCGGTGGATTTTTTTCCCTTCATGCATTTTTTATGTGTTCCCCGTGGTCTGTAGGTATGACCTGCTGCAGAAGCGACTTTTCCAGCTGGAGGAGGCAGAGGGAGGCTTTGACCAGTTCACTCGCAGCTACAAGACGTTCGGCGTGCAGCGGCAGCCTGACAACAGCCTGATCTTTAAAGAGTGGGCTCCAGCTGCAGAGGCCCTTTTCCTCACTGGCGACTTCAGTAAGTAACCTGAGGAGAGCTGTCCACTTCTGAGCAGCGTGACACCGGTGTGATCTGCGTGTGATTTCCAGATCGCTCCCTCTGAGCTCACCAGAGATTTGCTGCTGCTCAGTTAATATCTGCACGTGCACGTTCTATGTTTAGGAGCGCTTACAAAATCGACCCAATATGGATGCGAACAACCTGAAATTAAAGCTAAAAGTTGTCACAATAACCTCATGCTTATTGTTTTTTTTTTTTTGCTATAAATGCCTTTATACAAAATAGTGAGTCTTGTGTGTTAGAAAATCTTTATTTGTTTTTCTCCTGTCTGGCATTCTCATTTAGTTTTAAAGAAACAGCCTCATAAACGTTCTGCAGTTGCACAGCAGCAATCAATTGGCAATAATAAGTCAGAATACTAAAAAGAAAATGACACCTTTAATATAAAAGCTACACACACTGTTGGGACCAAAAGGAGAAAAAAAAGAGATTTCAGTGCAGACTGAAAGGTTGCATATCTTCAAGGTGCATTAAATAAGAAATTTGACATTTCTGCACTCTTGAACACAAAGGGGCAAAAAAATTAAGCAAAAGCTCAGCGTACTGCGGTACAAGGGTATCATCCCTTTTGATCAACCAACCTGGGAGTAGGAAACGTGGAGGATATTGATTACACAGGATAAACTTGCATACTGAGGGGGGATCTTTTGAATGTGGGAGTGTTTGTTAATATTTTAGTAGCTGGTTATTTCATCATCGCTCGCAAAGTTGTTGAGAGAGTGCAACCTCTGTGTTTGCACTGAAATCTCTATTCCCCCTGGTCCCAACTTTGAAAGTAATTTCAGGTTGATAGATTTTCGGCTGTTATTTTTGGTTAATGTGTGCTGTGAAAATGCGGCAAAATAATTTATTTTTTTCATCATTAACAAGATTGAACGAGACAGGCTCTCATCTATCAAATGTAAGGTCATACAGCTTCATTTTCCTTCCTTTTTTTTAGAGGTCCAGACACAAAAGTTGGACTACTCTGTGTTATTATTTGTAATGTCTATCATTATTAGTCGCGGTAACCTATGGTTTCCCTGGCTTTGTGTCAGTTCTCTACTGCAGACTAGGAGACTATAGTTAATCAAGTGTCCCTGAAGGAATTTATGCTTTGGGGATGTTTTACGCCTAAACTCATTATGACATACTGATCACAGCCACCACAATGCTTTATATTATCTGCACTACATTTAAGCCACTCAGTGTGTGTGTAACCTGAATCTGTGTTTAGTGTCCATATTGTGCTTGTAAACCTCCATATGTGCATCTTTCTGTTCTCGCTGTTGTGAAGCCTAACATATTACTCTCACTGAGAAAACAAAGAACACAACAATGACGCAATGTGAAATGGTATAATAATGAAATGTAATGATAGTCGATGAATTCACATAACTTACATGCTATTCGCCACACTACAGAATAAACACTTATCTGCGTGCGACAGCTGCTCTGAACTAACACCCCGCAGGTAATGACGCCGTATTACTGATAGTAGCGCACTATTAATACTATTACTTAAGACGCTAATAGCGGTACCCTCAGATTGATGCTCTATGGAAGCCCCGAAATGTGTCAATTTGTTTATTGTCCCTGCACATTTTTTGTGCTAGTTAGTTCTGTTTCTTCCATTCCCCTCTTTCCATATTTCTCCCATTCCCTTTCCCTTTTTAATTATCTTCCCAGGACCTTGGGCAGCAGCTCAATTCCAACATTCAATTCTGTGAGAGATTACATTTTGACACGGCTCAGTCATATTATTTGATTTCAATTTCATAGTAAATGTGGAAACAGCCCAGCAGCCCTAGTCATGAATATGGTGCAGGTTGGATGCATAATGCACTGTGTTTTTTTTTTTTTTTTTTTTTCCAGAGGAGTTTAAGCAAAGGGAGATAAATAAATTGTGAAAAAATATGACTTGGCCTGCCAATGAAAAGTGCTGGTGCTGTGCATGGTCACTTCTGGAGCATCTCCTGTGATTCATTTCCCACCCTGCCGTTGTTCTTACTCATGAATAGCAAGCAGATATGGATTACGGAATAGAAACAACATCCTAAATTGACATGCCAAGGTGGTCACTTAATAATAAATGTCTTCTGTTCTAATACATTCCTGTCAGTCAATGACAATTGGCAATGCGGTATCAGCACATTAGGAGCCTAACTCCTCTCTGTTGTTTCCTCAGAGCTAAAATTCAATGAGCAGTGAAGTGGTATTTTATCAGTTTTTCTTTTAGATGACTGAGCCCGCTGCTTTACTCACTGTCACAAATGTCACAGGATACAGTGGAACAGTGCAGAGAAGGAAAAACAACAAGAAAGAATTATGTAAGATGTGTTAGAGGGCGAGGGGAGGGGGCCGAAACTGTGCGAAGACGGATTGTAGAAGTCAGAAAAATAAAGTGCTGCTGTGACCACGGGGGGATATTGAAATGGAACAAAAGCCACAGTGGTGACTATCAGCTGCAAGCTGTTGTTAGCACAAGGCAAGTGGCAAAGCAGCTGTAATAAGGGTGAAGGAAACTGTTAATTGTTTTATTTGTAATTAAAAGTCATGAAGAACGCTGCGGTTGGGTTGCAAAATTTCTGACTTTGGCGACTCCTAGTGGTGAACTCGGACAAATAAGATGCCAGAGCACAGCTTGTGACTTTGTGATTTTAATATCCAGAAATCACATAATAATATGAATAAAACAAGCACATTACAGTGATGTTTAGTCTCCCTGCAGGTCTGTGACTGATTCACACCAAAAGAAACCAAAGGAACAAGAGGGATTAATGTCCTGATTTGGGGGCTGCTCAGTCATAAGCACTGCTTTTCTTTATATACGAGTGTCTTTAATCAGGATGCAGCTAATCAGTGTTTATGTTGCTCTTTGTGTTGCAAACCAGTGAATCTGATGTGCTTCAACTGTATCTGTTTACCCGTAGATGGCTGGGAAAAATTCTCCCACTCTTACACCAAGAAAGAATACGGCAAGTGGGAACTGATTCTTCCACCCAAGCATGACAAGTCTCCAGCTGTGGATCATAACACCAAACTCAAGGTAGAGAACAGAACATCTTCATACTTATTTTCACGCCCTCAGCAGGTGTCATCTTGCCACGGCGGCTCAGGGACTCGTCACTGTAATGTTTGTGGGAGATTCCCTGTCATGTGTGGTGTCTTATGAACCAAGTGAAAACCTGGCATGTCGCCATCAACAACATGTCACACTCACAGTGCAGAAGGGAGATTACTGTATGTACACAATCTGCACAGTGGAGAGTAGATGCACCTGAGGAGCCCGGCTGATGGCTTTTATTTCAGCTCCCATCTGTGGCAGGTATCCCTCAGGACATTGTGCTGTGTTTGTTTGGTGCGAAACACAGCTCGCAGTGGGTGTACATGATTGGTTTTAAGCTCTAGTAAATAATTCATCAGGGTTAAATGCAAAAGATGCACCTCCCATTATGCATTGTCTCCCAAGCACACAGTGTGGATGAGAAATAACCCAGAAATGAGATGCCAGGCGTGAAGTGGATGGCATCGCTACGGCACTCTCCTTGGGACTGGGTCATCGTTGGCACACTCCTGCGCCCTGGACAGGCTGCCCAGCTCCCATTGTCAGCGGAGGTCAGTCTAAGGACGATAAGAAGCAGATGGAAACGCTGGCACCTGGCCTTTCCTTGTGCACCCCTGCTGCCTATGAATGGCTGTCTTGCTGAGAGCTCCACTTTAGAATTAGTTCCACAGCACTCCCTCGTGGAAGCACAAGCCTAGCTCCAATCACTCTCATGTAGAGCAGCTTGCCCTTCCATCCCCTTTGTGCGGGGCCCAATTTGTCTCCATAAACAAGCAGTGTCCTTTTGTGGTTACAGTATTTACAGTAAGTTGTTTATGATGCAAGAATGCAACGCCGCGGAGGACGAACAGAGGCGATATCGAAGCGATCAAACGCGCCTTTTATCCGCGCCTAACTTTCCGTATATGGTCCAACTCTTAGTTGTTTTTCCTGTTCACGCACTCACTCAGCCTAGCAGTCTGATTTTTCTTTAATGTGCCTAATGCTGGCCAATTTGTCTGAAGGGCCACCGCTCTGTCAGGCTTTATGCCAGTCCATTTATCCAACTATCTTTTCCTAATCCTATAAACTGTGAAGCATGTCATAAGGGGAGCCAGGCAGCTAACCCCCAGGTGGCCTGGCCATAATGAAAAAACCCCAGAGGGGAGTCTGGCCAACGGCTCACAGGCAGGTGGCATTGAAACAGTCATTACTTCACAACAGTAGCCAGAATTAGTTGGGTTCTAATGCCCATTTCTGCGGGGGACAAAACAGGGTGGACACATACTGCGGGTAACACTACAAGATCGATTTCTTGGTTGGTTTTTCCAACTCTCACGCTGGCTTTCTCCTTTCTTATTTGACTGATGGAGGCAAAGTAACTTGTCAGATTTCCAAACTATATTTATTTTACCCCCTTCCAATCCTGAATTGCAGACATAATAGATGAGAGGCAAAGGATAATGATTTAGATTTCCTATTTTTCTAAATTGCTCCCTGGCTCAAATCCCCTCTCAAGATGGGCCAGTGAGTAGCTGTGTTAAAACCAATAAAAGAGTTGCACCGCTTACAAAAAAATAACACAGGATAATCACGGCTGAATCCAGATTTACCGCAACAAGTATTTTGGTCAATACTTTAGTTTTTTTTTTTTTTTTGTCCTCTGCACCATATTATCTCTTCGAGCCCAGTGTAATACTTTCTAAAGCTGTGAGTTTTGCATTGGAGAGCAGGGGCTCGCTTCCTGGACGAGGGGCGGTTTTTGTGTTGACACATTTTTAAAAAATGTTTGCTTTAGTGGTTGAACAATCTGCACCATCTTTCTGTATAATGGATGAGCAGTAAGAGCACAGTTTTATGATGTAAGCATTTCATGGCCAGAAGATGTAAATAAATGCTGACTTTAAATCCAGGGATAGAAACATGCAGGAGCCTCGGAGGACCTTTTGAATGCTCTGCTGATTTGTGACCAGACCTCTTAAACTCGACTGGATTGTTATTTATCTTTTATGGTTATCTTATATTGAAATTTTGCTTTCGTTCCATTTTGCTTTCATTTGCATACTCTTAACCTTCATCCTCTTTTTTCCTGTAGGGTTTTACTTCAGATTTTCAGCGCCACGGCGTGTATGATGTTGTCCGGGGATCCTTTGTCTGCCTGTTGTGTGTGTTGCCGTCCTCTCAGCTTATGTAAAGTGCCCTTGCTATAACATAACACTCATTTGTCTTATTTTTCCCAGGTGGTGGTTCACACCAAGGAGGGTGAACGCCTGTACCGGATCTCGCCTTGGGCCAAATATGTGACCAGGGAGGAGAAATCTGTCATCTATGACTGGGTTCACTGGGATCCACCACAACCTTACAATGTAAGTTATTATTTAAATGTATTATTTAGTAAAATTTTTACTGTTCGTTCTTCTTTTTTTAAGAAAAGCTTATTTCTTATTGATTTTTTTTGTTGTTTTGACTGAAAAACTGTTGAAAATCTGGTTTAAAAGAAAAAAAATCAACCCAAAATTCTTATTGAATTGAATCAGAAAAGCAAACATTGTGCAAACATGTAGGAATTTATTTATTTTTTTTAATGTCGGGAAGCATTTCCTGAGTTGTCGACGATAGATAGATAGATAGATGGATAGATGGATAGATAGATAGATAATCTTTCCATTAAACCAATGACAACCTATTGTGAAAAGCCTAATCACAGCTTTCCTACACTGATGATGTGTCACTGAAACTATGGCATGTTGAGTTTGCTCCGCTCCTAAAATAGCCTCCCCACGTCCGTCCATCTGAACATACCGTCTCATTTTTTGCATCTCATCGGTGAAGCCGTTGCAGCTATTCTTAATGCTCGATGCCGCTGATTCGAGAGGGTCTGAATACGTCTCAGTGCTACTTGTTGTGCTTAGCCTGAGAGGGAACAAGCGAAACAATAAGAGGCTATTAAAGGCCACCTTGCTTTCTTTATCGCTTGTTATTTGGCACCATTTTAATTAGAGGAGCCCACTTACTGGCAGTATATTTGTTTTATTTACAAGTGGCTCAATCATGCACTTCAAATGGTGGGCTGACGAGGCCTGGTGGGTAGCCATCAAGAAAATGTGTGCTATGTATAAAACAAATTCCTCTCCTGTTGTGTAACACGGACGCAGTGAATCATAGCTATTTTAATATTAAACATGTGTAGTGCTATTATCAGTCTCCGCGGTACGACATTGGCGCAATGAACCACGAAACCCACGCTTTGTCTTTGACTTTATGCTTCATGATTTACTCAACAAGTGTATTTTTAGCAGTTTTTAGGAAAAAAAGTGCGAGACCCCTGTCATGTTTTTCCGTCCACTTGACAGCAAATTCACCCTCGACCAAAGAAGCCCACGAGCCTGAGAATATACGAGGCTCACGTGGGCATCGCTTCACCGGAGGGGAAGGTCGCTTCGTACACCAACTTCACAAACAACGTGCTGCCTCGCATAAAAGACTTGGGTAAGACAAAACATTACGTCTATGAGATTATTCCTCTTCCCTTTTGGCCTACCTCTTATGTTGTTGGGCTATTCAAGTCTGTTAAAAGTGCACGGCAATCATCCCGCCCTGATCCTCTTCATCTAAGTGTCAGTCGGAGCTTTTGTTGATTCAACTCGAGAGCGTTTTGTATCTTCTCTCGCCAAGAGCAGAGTGGAAGTGAAGCATTAAGAAGATGGTTGTATATGCACACATACGCATCAATTCTGAGCCAACTATGTGGTTGGAAAACAATAGTTGAGGGGTTCAAGAGTTTCTTTTTTTTTTGCATATACATAGCTGCCAGTGTCTCTGTCAACACCGGTCCATAACATAGCAGACGTGATGCTGAGAGTGCTGCTGCTCGTCCAGGAGCCGTATTTTCAGTGAGCAGAGCTGTCACACTCCCTCTGCATTAAACCCCATCAGCAAGTCAACATCCTGTTTACTGGCATGACCTAAAGGGATCGCTGACCGTTGGGCGGCGTTTTGTAAAGAGGGCTCCGCAGCACTAGTAGCGCCACACAGCAGTTTTGGCTCCAAAACTGACAGCTTGTTCCCATTTCCATGATCGTGACTCAGGCGGGCCAGTAGAGGAAGGAAAAAAACCATCTCAATGCACCTTATCTCCCCGGCAACACAAACATGTAGAGCCATAGGATAAGACCCGTCATGACAAATCGTCAAAATTAATTAGATTCTAATAAATGTACCCGTTTCTATACAGCATCATATTCCATTTCTTTCTCATTCGGACTCACTTCTGATTTATTTTTGCTGATTAATTCAGTCCTCGCAGATTTTTTTTGGTGTCTGGTCTGATTGAACGGTCGGCTGTTGCAGATATTCTCCGTTTAATTATACATGACAGTTTAGATATGAAATGTTTTAATATGACTAAACTTGGATTGACAGAAGATTTATAATGTCTTTAGGTCAATGAATTTGCTGCGCTGCCCGAGCCTTACTCGTACTAAACAGAAGTGTGCGATTTTAACGTCCTTGAGTTGAAACTAAACAGCTTTTCATCTGGTGCTTGTGACTGTTAGACGATTGCGAAACATTTGAGCTTTTTGAAATTAGTTCTTAACAAGAAGAAAAAAAATTGTCACATTTCAAATGAATATGATCTGTGGAGCTTTGAGAAGTTTTAAAATTTGGAATATTCTTGTTTTATGTGTAAAGGTTTATATTAGCTTGTTTAATAAATGATTTAAACAGTTGTGCCACAAACCAACACTTATAATAAGTGAGAACTTTACACAACTTTAATCGGATCTATGATGACTTTGAACTTGGCATTTGGCATTTTTGTCTTTATGCTGTGTATAATATATTTGCATCTGACAGTGTAACTCGTTATGCTTTCGTTTCTTCTTTAAATTAACAAATGCAGCCAGAATTCATCAAGTTCTCCCCGTATTAATTAATTAATTTGCATTGTCCCTATTAAATAAACAGATAAAGTGAGTGAAATACAGGACAGCAGATGATGTTTTTATAAAAGACAAAACAAGGCAGATAAAGAAGAAGAGGAGGATTACTACATTTGAGCAATTGTTTCTACAGCAAAACAAACCTTGAAACATGAATTAAATTAAACATCTGTACAGCTTTAGCCTGTTGTTCCACCACAAAGTGTATTTTCCTTTGTAATTCTTCTATAAGAAACTGTCAAATTCTGGTTAAATGCAAAATCTATCACCTTCTTCCACTAGATTTCAGCACTGGAGGACTGTGTCTATATTGCTGCTCGAAGCTGTAATTAAAAACAGTTACCCTCAAAAGTAATACCAGCGCTTTTGTGCTTGTCAACATTGTCTTGTGCTCTCATCACACATGTGACTAATTAACTGCAATGTGTGATTAATAGCTCGGCTCGATAGCGAAGAGCGATATTAAAAATGTGACTTTAACCTCGCGCAACTGATCCGTGTCGTCGGCTTGCAGCTCCGCTCGTACGAGACGCGGCGTTACTTTGCATTCAAATACAGCCTGCTGCACTGACATTATTAAAAGGCACAGATATGACTGGCACAGCAAACCAGGAGAAATGTGATAAATGCTGTTTTCTCGGTCGTGTCATCCTGTTTAGTGGGTAAGGAAACTGCCAGAGTAAATGCTGTCAAAGAATCTACCTGCAGCAGCTGAGGGATTCTGCACAATAGGATTCTCCAGGAGGCTAAACTCCACGTCTCTAGTGACGGCTGCCTTTGCCTGCCATTTCATTTTCTTGACTGAAAGAGAGTATATAAATATAAAAAAAGAGAAACTTCCTCTCACCCCAGTGCTTTGTCACACTCCTTCAGAAGGCAAAGTTTTTTTTTCTCTCTCTCTCTCTCTTTCTTTCTCTCTCGCCTGAAAAGATATATATAAATAAATGTGCTCGATACAACAGTGGAAAACCGCAGGGCCTCCCTCTGGAGTGCTCAGTGGCAGTTTAAAAGCCTGTTGTTCTCTTATTCATAGAGGCAGTTTTCGTAGGTCGTTTTGAAATGCTGTACATGACCTCCTGACTCTGATAGCTGGTGTTTCCCTGTTGCCACAGCTTGTCTTTAGGATACTAGAGCTGGTGCGCAAAAAGGAAATGCCTGGAGCTCGTATATAAAAGCATGACTGACACGGGTCAAACAGTAGCAAGTCTTTAAGGTTTTCTGATGCTTTGTAACCAAATTAATGTAGACAAACAAATCCAAATATAAAATTTTATCCACTTAATATTTGCAAGTGCTCTCAAAACTTTTGCACTCTGTGGCCGGGCGCACACATTGTAAGAATTATTAGCATTTTTAAATGATGTTTGGGATGCGATCCAAAGGATTTATTGAGATGAATCATAAGAAAAGAGGAAATGTGAATAGATGGGATGCAATGCTGCTGGTAACAAAGACGCAGCAGGATGTTGAATATATATTTACGATGATGCATAATTTAGCGGTTTATCCACAGCTATTATCTGAGTGATACTAGTATTAGTGACGCAAAATTAATTCTATAATCTGGAGAGCTTTAACACATGAGGTGATACATTTTAATTGCATTTTTTTTTTTTTTTGCTCTTTCCATCTAGGTTACAACTGTATTCAGCTGATGGCTGTCATGGAGCATGCCTACTATGCAAGCTTCGGATATCAGATCACCAGTTTCTTTGCTGCTTCCAGGTAAACAGTTGTCAAATTCAGATTAAAGTTTACATACTGTATTCTGTGCACATGTCATTGAATCATTGTCTGAAAAAACTGTGTAAAATATTTAATATTATAGTTGTCATGATATGTATCAGGTCAACAATAACACTTTAAATGTATGTGAATTCTGTAATTTCCTCACTATGTAGGACTTTTCTGGAAGCAATGTATGCTCATACTGGATGCAATGTGGTGAGCAAAGACTGGTCAATTTGCTAGTTTTGCATCATTTCTTAGAAAATGTGATCATTGTTAGTTCAGTATTTCCAAACTAGACACCACTGCTACAGGCCTTCTTTAGTCTCTCTGATGGGATCAATCCTCTCCACCTGAAGTGTGTTTGGCCACAGATGATGCCAAATCACCTTGGACTGCAATGACTTTAATGTCTATTTTTTTTTTGCAGTATTTTCTCTACAATCTACACCATTTTATCCTGCTACATGTGGTATCTGCTGTTTAAATCAGCTGCGAACCATTTTCAAAGTGCCTGATGTTTATTTTGAGGGTTGAATGAGCAACTTCACACTGTCATTGAAAACGAACTGAGTGCGCAACTTCCCATTCAACTCAGTCACCTCAAATCAAGGTTAGGAAGCCTGACACCAGCAATAATCTCTCTGTAAATACATTTCCTGTTAATCCAGAGAGTGGAGGGGAGTCATAGATAAAGGTGGACTAGTCTGAGTCTTTATCTTCTTCCCGATATCCTCCTTCCCTTGCTTAGAGTAGAGAATATACCATAAAGTGTAAAGTATATATTGTAATTTCACCCTTGATTGATCTCTCAGTGTCATTTAAAACCTTAGTGGTTGAATACCGGGAAGCGAGGTAATCCTGGCACTATGTGCCCTGTTTTGCAAGGAAGCTGATAGAATGATAGCTGGAAGGACAGACTGGATGTTATTGGAATGTAAGCGGTGATATATGTGTGTTTGTATATGGAAATGCGTGTGTACGCATACAGTTGTGGTTTTCTCAGTGTCCTGTGAGCGTCTTTTTCGTGATCCTTCAAATGATATTTAAAGGACTATAGAGAAGTTATACTACAACATGACAAAACCATCGTAAGCCCTCTTGATAGTGTATAGTATACTGGTTGTACTTGAGACAAGTGACTGGACAAGGTCACCGTGTTATATTGTGTGAAATAATGATGAATTATGCTGTGAAGCACAAGCATTGTACTGAAAATCTGAATTCAGTGCATGCGATAACACTTGCTCTTAAATAGGTCTGTTGTGGCAAGACCCAGTGTTATGGTGAGGTGTTAGAATTGGACTGATAGGTTTTTTTGTTTGGGGGAATTGAAATAACACACAAAGTACGCTGTGGGTCTTTGGAAAAATGAATGTGTGTATACGTGTACAGCCACAATATTAAAACCAGTTTCCTGATATTTAGTTAGTCCCCTTTGAACAGCCAGAATACTTCCCATACCGGGACACTGGCAGCAGATCCTTTGGGTCCTGTGGGTTGCAGGGTGGGACCTCAATTCTGGCACTTCCCATAAGTGCTCGGTCAGATTGGGATCTGGGGAGTTTGGAGGCTCGTGGTTGTGTTCCTCGAGCACTTCCTGTACAGTTCTTGCGGTGGGGTGGGGGAGGCTGTTGCTGATGGGGGTGTGCTTAGTCTAAAACAACGTGTAGGTGGGTCAGACTTGTCATCCCTGTGAATATCAAGACCCAGGGTTTCCCAGCAGAGCATTGTAACAAGATGATTGATGTGGTTTTAATGTTGTGGCTCATCAGTGTGTATTAGCTGTTCTTTAATTAGTGTAGTTGTGATGCCCAAATACCTTCTTCCACATCCTTCTTTAAAATGTCATCTTGAAAGAAAAAAAAAAGTGTTATTTAGGATTAGGATTAGGATTCAGGGTGGATCCGTGTTCAGTTCAAGCCATGAAATGAAACCGGTATAGGATGGAACCGGAGCGTGTAAAACTGATATAAGTCTGTGTGTGCATTCCTAGTCGCTATGGTACCCCGGATGAGCTGAAGGAGCTGATCGATGTGGCTCATTCAATGGGCATCGTGGTGCTGCTGGACGTCGTTCACAGTCACGCCTCCAAGAACACGGAGGACGGCCTGAACCACTTCGATGGCTCCGACTCTTGTTACTTCCATTCCCCACCCAGAGGGGAGCACAGTCTGTGGGACAGCCGCCTCTTCAACTACTCCAGGTACTGAACGTATCCACTGTTAATTAGAGACCTTCATATTTGTATCACTAGTAAGTATAAATATGGGTTTGACATGAACAGAGGGTGCAGCCAGTAAAGGTAAACAGGCCCCTAAAGCCATTAAAGAGAGTATTTTTGTCTCTATTGTAACATAAATGGTCTACCTTTAGCTTTCATTAGAGTGCGAATAAGTGTCTATTTTTATTTACGTGTTAAACTAAGTGTCAAGTCTTAATGAGAAATGTTCTCATCCTACCACTGACAGTCACTCTAATCAAGATAACACAAGCTTTTTAGCATAATTATGCGTTCAATTTATTATATCGTACAGTGATGCACATTTAACATATTTTTAGATGTGCATCGATGCATAAGAGCTGAATCTTGAAGTCAGTTTTATGCATGTGTATTGACAACTGTCATTTTTAGTTTGAAGTGGAAAAAAAAACACTCGCGGTTGATTCTGAAGTTTTTTTTTCTGGAAGTTGTGAGAGCCTTAAAGAGCATGTATAAGGTAATTAAATCAGAATGCAGTGTACCTGCTATACAATTTTTTTGTATTAACAGTAGCATTTAACCAGCACTGTGGGACTCCTGTACTTTTTTTTTCCTTTTGACTTTATGCTGCTATAATTTTAATGTAATTAAATCCAACTTCACATTTCTTCTGAGCCTTTTAGCGGGATATAAAAGCAAGTCCATTGATTACTGCGGTTTCAGCTCCTCAATTATGCTCTGGCTCGAAGATGAAGAGCTGCATTTAAATGTAACATGTGACATCGAAAAAATAAAAAAAAATCCCAACCTGCCCAGGCTACATCAGATATATAAATGTTTACATTTTAAAAACAAGGTTGATAAATGAGCTCTGTGGACTTTCGGGCTTCAGAATTTAAATTGAAAACGTATACGCAACATTTTAACAGACTGATAAATGAGGCCAAATGGGAGCTGACATACCACTCTTTATATTTTCTCACACCATCTGATACAGAACGATGTGTTGAAGGTCAAAAGCAAGACATGATTGCAAAAAATGACAGATTACATCGCTCGCCAAAATGGCCATGAAGTCAGGTGCGCTGTTAATCTGATATACCTGAGGTGCAGAGTGGGCTATTAATGGCAAATGTAAGTTTCCTCTAATGATCTTTTTTACCTTTTATACATTTGGCCAGGCAGGTGTTGAATTTTAATGCATGATGAATAATGAATTGATGCTACAGTGTTGGCAGGATTTGATAATGCTCATATTTTAAGCTAATCACAAAAGTGGGGGGAGAAAAAAAATACATAAAAGGCCATAAATCGACAGGATGTTTTCCGTCTCTGCTGGTGCTCAGTTTACACCAAAACTATTGATTGGTGTTGTTGTAGGCCCTGTTAATTAGCTGTCTCTCTTGCCTCTGTACCCAGAAAACGATCCCAGCACACATTAAAGAGGAACAGGCACTGTTGAGTCTATCAAATGCCTTTTTGAACTCGCTTTTAATAAGTGTGTGTCAGTGTGCAGCCGTTTCCAATACATTATACAATGCTTAGTGGCAGGCATGGGGGCTATAATAAGAGAACAAGGTTCTTCTTTCATTAGTTATTGAACCCTCCTCATATCAGAAGCACTCATTAGACATGGTGCAGACATATGCCACGACTGGGAGGCATATGAGGAGTCATTTGTAAAAGCCCAAAGGAGCTCTGCAATGTCATACCCAGTTCATTTGTCTTCTTTGCCTCTCACAGGATGTTTGGACATGTCGTTTGTGTCAAGCTTTCTGCTACTCTCTTTGGAAGGAAATGAACCTCAGAGGCTCGCTGTGAACCTAGTGTGAAACACAGTCTGTTTTTAATCAAGCAGCCTTGCTATCAGCCATCAGCGTCTGACCATGATGTTCTTATTAGGTTGACAGGAGCTGACTGATAGCCGACAAGCTGTCCGAGCGGACATGAGCGTTGTTGCGGTTGCCAGCCCCTTCCGCTCGGCTTCCACATTCTGCATCTTCATCAAAGAGCACCTTTTATTTTTTTTGTTGTGGTTGTTGTTGTTGTTGTTGTATGCATTCCACTTCAGCTTTTTCCTCATAAAACATTCAACACAGTCCGGAGAGAATGCTGTTTAGATAGATGCCTGCTATCCAATTTGTTAACTTGAGTTGCCTCTGAGTCAAATGTGTCTGCATTCAGCATTAAGAACGTCTGGCTTTGCAAACATTGGTTCCAGGCTGTAGAAATGCTAGAAGTGGTTTTTCGGTTGCTGAATACCAACGTGATGGTATAAAGACTGAGTAGCATTAAAACTATGTAAGGACACATGCACCCGCTGGATTTTTAGCATTTCTTTAGGAAAAAAAATAAATAAAAAAAAGCTTGTATTTATGCTTATTAAATTGAATTAATACTATAAAAACTTGAAGCACTTGTACCGTAGCACTGGATATGCGTTTAGTCGTCTGGTTGTGAGGGATACATTCCTAATTTTCAAGGATGTCTTTGTAGCTTTTTCCCCACTATGTGATTTGAATGCATTTTTATTATAAACTGCATTGGACAAAAAACATCTGACGCATCTTTGCTGGAGCCTTTTGTTCGAAATTTAAAGTTGCAAATGTCCTTGAAACGTCACTGTCAGGATATACAGTTTATGTGAAAGCACCTGACGCTCATCTGCTCTTGTTCTATTGAGCAGAAACTAACCAGAGAATGTCTGCGCTAGTCACTGGTCACTGTTTCCTTCACAGACCTTTTCAAAGACGCCAAAGTCACCTTGACACGGTGACCGGGTGAGTGGAGCCCGTGGTTCAGGACGTAGGGGGGCTGGCAGACAGAGGAGCCAAGCCTTTTTGCAGATCAGGAATTTCAAAAAGTGAGCAGTGAGAGTTCTGAGGAGCTTGATGTGGGCTCGCTCTGTAATCCCCCCACCTCTCTCAGGATCATTTGCATCCATTTTTCATCAATCTTTGTGTGAATTCTTAAGATATGAAAAATAGGCCCAGGGCCAGGCTTTTGAAAATGCTTTTTAACTCTTCTCCATGTTCTCATGCTGAGAGATCGGTCCTGTGTTTGACGACCAAGTATTTCTCTCTTTGACAAGATTATTCTATACGTGTGTGTTTTTATTCCGCTCAAATATTTGTTAATGATGTTTGATTTGGGAAATATATTGGTGTATCTGAAATGATTCTGTGCCTCTGTGCTCCTAAATCCTAAATTATTGGAGACAAACGATGGCTGATAGACTTTTACTAAATTAAATGAGCTTGGATTTTAAGTGTATTCTACAGTATGAAAGCTCAAATAAGGTACAATAAAACAATTTAAGTTATTTAATATACAATATAAATAACTGATCAAGATGTGTTTTAGGGCTGCAAGGTGCATCGGTGGTTAGCACCGTCGCCTCACAGCAAGAAGGTCGCCAGTTCGCGTCCCAGTGTGGACACCCGGATCTTTCTGCGTGGAGTTTGCATATTCTCCCCGTGCAGTGTGGGTTCTCTCCGGGTTCTCCGGCTTCCTCCTACAAGGTCCAAAAACATGTTGAGGTTAATTGGTGATTCTAAATTGTCCGTAGGTGTGAATGTGAGTGTGCTTGGTTGTCTGTCTCTAAGTGTAGCCCTGTGATAGACTGGTGACCTGTCCAGGGTGTCCCCTGCCTTCACCCTGAGTCGGCTGGGATAGACTCCAGTTGCACCCTAGTGAGGATTAAGCGGTGTATAGATAATGGATGGATGGAAGATGTGTTTTAATCCGTCTAACCCCATCCCCTATCCAATAAAAGCAGCCACATAAATAATGCAGTTTTCTCCTAAGCATGAATTTTGACACTGTGAAATCAGTTTTTTTGCTGTTGCCAGCTAAACATCCTTTAAATTGTGAAATTCTAGTGGAACTACACACAGGGGAAGACATGTGGGGAAGCAAAGAATCACCCTGCTGATAAATGGCATGCTTTTATTTTAAAGTAGCAGAGCAGAAACCATCACAGAAGAAACCAGAAAAGTCTATCTCCATCTCCCCCAGAAGAATTCCTGTTTTTACATATTTGGACCAGCTTTGGCTGATAGTTAAGGCCTGGGCACCGTTTGATCAATCAATAAACTCACACTTGAAAAGTCAGCTCTGTCCAAATTCAGTCATTTTAGTATTTAGCACCCATGAGTTATTTCCCCTGCCCCATCAAGTCACACAGCAAGGGGAAAAGCAGTTTTTCCCCTCTGGTGAGCTTCGGCTAATGAGCTCAGCTTAGCTGTAGGTGTGCATGGTGGCTTGTTGGAGCTGCCTGTAGTGCTTCCACTAGGTGCTGGATGGAGCCAGTGGGTAGGAACTTAGCAGCTCTGCACCTTCATGCCCCTAAGCCCCTTAAAAGTATCTGAAAAATAGAAGAAGAAAAAAAAAATCATGGCAGTGATATGTGCAAAGAGTTTTCTTTCATCAATCAGGTGATGGTTTTTTTGTGATCCAAATGAATAATGTAGCTTTTGGAACCCTATTTTTATAAAAGTGCAGTTTGTAGATTAAAAAGAAAAGACATTTGACAGTTTGAAAAAGAGTGTAAGTGTTAACATCATGCAAATCTATGTTGGTGGTCATTTATTCTGTTGGAGTTGCTTTTTCTGTGATATTAAGACATGGTTATTTTCTCCGTATTAAAAGGTTGCAGAGCTGATATGTTGCTAATGAACATTTCATTCACAGCTGCACTGAGCTAGTTTGTAGTGTCTGCGGATTTCCAATGGTTCAAGCTGTATCTCATGTGCCCTTATGTTTGGCTTTATCAACCCCAGGTACTGTTGTTCCCTCAGTAAAGCCTACAAGGCTGCGCCCTCCCTCAAGGCTGGCTGCTGTCTGACAGCTAACTGGCTGTGTAACTCTAGTTTTTTTTTCCTGGAGAAATGCCAGTAATTTACATGGTTTCTCTGTCAGAATGGTCATACCTTGTGAATAACTTAAGTGATTATTCATAGGAGCATGTGCCTTCTGAATATCCTGCCACTACAAAAATGCGGTCCACTGGAAAAAACTCCAAAGGGGTAGAATTGGCTTGACAGACTGCATTGATTCCTGAAAGACAGTACAAAGTGATACTAATTACAGGTTGCTAAACATACAAACAGTCTCTCAGGCAGCCGAATATCCCTCTCAGGATGCCAAGCAAGAGCAGCTAGTTGCCAGGCAGCATAAAGAATGCCAGACAAACGGCAGATATCTAACACAAAGCGCAGCAATACAGGGACAGACTGTCAGGCCTCTAGATGAGAGTTTACCCAGCACGGCAGCCAGTATTACCAGACTGCTGGAAGAGCTGCTAACAATGTGGTACAAAGTATAAAGATGTATTTTTTTTTTAACAGTCCAGCACACAGTACGTGTTTGCATTTCAAGACACGCACAGTTCTTGGCTAATTGAACCGTGTTTTACTGGACGGCGGCTTATTTGATGACAGGGTATGTGCAAACACGGCTAAAAAATCTACCGTTAGTCACGAATGTAGGCGACACCATGCAGGCGTCAGTGGTCGTATCCTTCAGGCATCATTTTTTCTCTCTGTTTATTTAACGTACACAAAAGATGAATGAAAAATTTCATGACTGAAGAGATAAATCAAGCTTCAACCAAGAAGTGTGAATTTATTGCGGTTGACGTTCCTGTCAATGTCTCTGTCCCGCGCTGGCTGCAGGGATTGTAGAAAAGTTTTGAAATGCGTTAAATGAGGCACCTCATTTGTCCTTTTTGGTCCAACAAATGCACGCCATCCATCAGGCTGTCTGGCGGCGTCGTTTCGGCATCACACTTCTTGTGGAATGACCTGTCAGCTCCTTAAATTTATTTGGTCTTATCTGCAGCTTACCTGTGATGTTGTGAAAACAGGGACTTAAATCTTTTTCTTTGCCGTCATGACAAGTTGCCGTGACCCCGTATGCAAAATTGACTGCTGGAAACACAGCGTGTTTTGATATCTGCTCAGCTCGAAACGTGAACGCCTTAAATGTGGGTCACAGTCGTGGTCAGCCTGAGGAGGAAATAAAGGAGCAACTAAACATGAAGCTGGTGTGGAGAGAAAACAAAAGAGTCTGCTTTTGTCTGAACTGACTTGTGGTGACTTTTGTGGCGGTGTGTGTGTGCTCGCAGGTAAAACAGCAGCACATATGATAGATTACCTTATCTTACTCTACAAGCAGCAATATTAGAGCTTTACTCTGTTAGTGCTCCCTAACCAGGTTTCCTGTCATTGCTGAGCTTTAGTATGAGGACAGCGTAATATGCAATTTGCTTTTGTATTAACACTGCAGACCGAGTGATAACTTCATTGAACTGCATAGGTAAGCTGTGTATTGCATCGGGTACAGAGATCTAACTTTCTCACTGTAATTGGACTTGATGATGAATGGCATTGTGGGTCCTAATGTGGCAGTATGGTTTCATCTTGGGCCTCTGGCTCTCACTGGCTATTATCTCCATCCCATGAGGATACATTGTGTCTGAGCCTTTGTTGGCTCTGCGCAGTGGAGTGGAGGACCTAATCTATTTATCACAGGGTCTGCGTGACCACCCAGCCAGGCTGCTATATCGGATCATACCAGGCTCCCTTGTGCTCTTCCTCTAGGGAAGGAGGAAGCGCCGATGTAACATGCAGCTTCACACCTGTCAAACAGTGCTGGTGTTGGTCATCCCTGAGGAACCGAGCACAGAAGGGAGTGCATTTAAATGTATTTTGTGTCACGGCTTTCCTCGGCCAACAGAATCCGGGATTTTGTCTTTTGCCGTAGAGGATGTAATCCTCAGCATTAAGTGTTCAGCGCCAGAATCTTTGATATGAGAAAGTGTTATTGAGAACAAAAGTTGTCTGGTATGCGGGTGGAATTTTTGCAGTTTGAGATGTTACTGAAGTGTTGTTGAAGCATGAATCTGGGTCTCCTCACTGCTTCACCAGTTTTCTGACGTGATGAAATTGCATCATTCAAGCAAAAAATGTTGAACTGCCCCTCAGTGTGGCGTCGCTGCCGGAAAAAATACAAACCAAGGTCTAACTTTTCTAATTCAGGAAATTAATCAGGCTTGTAAACCAGTACTGTACATATAGAGAGAGCTGTTCAATATTACACTAGCTATTCAATATTACATTAGCACATTAATTGATTGAAATGACTAAAAATTCCACCTTACGATTGAATTTTGCTCAACGGCAGGTTATGTGGTTCATTTGTCTGGAAAGGGACGTGAACCTCCAACACAGATAAAATAGTGTCGCAGAGGTGCAGGAGCTTCTTCAGTAGCTTCTTCGTGGGCCTGCAGTGCTGCCAGCCATTTCATGAATAACACGCTATTTCAGTCGAGGCTGGTGTGAAGCTCAGGTAGTGAAAGGATATTCTGTGAAATGTCTGGTTAAAAAAAAAAAAAAAAAGTCGCCAAAGTACTTCAGAGACATACGATGGATACTAATTTATCACAAAAATGGAGGAAAATCTATTAGGTTCCCAGGTATTGTAATATATAGCTTCACTAGGACATCATTACAACCGCTGTTGGAGCCGAGTATACAGAGAACATCTGAGCTGAGAGTTCCAGCCTAAGCAGAGGCAGCGGTTCACATTTAATCAGTGTCATGAATGTGTCATTCGTCTCACATCCTTGGCGCTCTGCTCCTGCTTTCCAGCACGCCATCCGTGTGTACAGTGTTTCATTTGATGCTCATTACGCACAGTGCATAGAGACAACCAAATATTGAGTTTCCAACTGACGTTTCCATGGCAACGCACCGCTGAATGGGGAAGAGTTGAGGCGCGTAGTGTACTTTGCCTTGAGTGGCTGTTCAGAACCAGATGACTCTCCCAGTCAAGAACGGGGACTGGGGCCATTTATGGAATCCACCTCCTCCAGCCTCCACACCAACACAGTCCAGCCAGCAGGCACAGAGAACATTTGCATGCTCCGCAGCGCACCGTGGGCTACGAAAACAACCGCAACGTACACTTTCATATTCACATAGTTTATTGGCTGCACGTATTTCTTTTTCTGGAGTTTGCCCTCTAGCTTGTAGGACAGAGGAGCTCGGCGTGCGCTGAAGATGAAGCCAAAGTGAGTAGAAGTGTATGATTTATCTCGTCCTCAGGAGAGGGAACTCAATTCCCCTGCATGGTGTTTGTTTACCCAAGTGTGGCATGAAATCCTATCAGTTCAAATACACAGGGATGGGCCTGGCCGTACAAAACGCTTGCCCAGTGGTCATGCAAGCGATCTGATGGAAATCGGAAAACTTCACTATGTACTGTAAGCCACTGATTTCTCATCTTGACAACTGGATATGTGAAAGACACCGTCCCCTCTCCAGTGTAGTTAATGAAAACACTGTCTGCTGTCACCGACGCTCCATCCCCAACATAATGGAGCTTTGGTTATCAATATGTGAATGTCCTGTAGCGGTGAAAATTAATCTCTGGTGCCCAAAGTGCATGATGAGATGTGTGAATAATTCACAGCTTCTTATTTATCTGACCTTGAATGTGTGTGCGTGTGCTTGTTTGTGTGTTTTGCTAGCTGGGAAGTGCTGCGTTTCCTGCTGTCAAACCTGCGCTGGTGGATGGAGGAGTACCGCTTTGACGGATTCAGATTCGACGGCGTTACCTCCATGCTGTACCATCACCATGGCATCGGTGAGACTGGTTTGTGTGCGCTTTGCATTGCAGCGCTGGGAAATATGTGTAAAACCTGTCATTCTGCTTTCCTTTGTAGCCCACAGTGCAGCAGCAGCAGCACCACAGACTCCTGAGGGTTAAATAATAATAAGGTTGACTTATTCCACCCAACATGTGTTGAAGATTCTTACCTAGAAAGTGTATTTACTTTTAAAAAATCTAAGACCACAACAGTGTTAATGTTTCCTAATGAATAAGCACATGTCTTATCTTAAAAGCATTGAAAGGGTTTAGGATAAAAAAATAAAATATAAATAAAAAACATGGTCCAAGTATTTTTGTAAAAAGTTGCGGTCAAATATGTATTGCATGAATTAATATATATATATAAATAAAGGTTAATTTGTTAACAAAGCCTGCAGGCTACAAAGCAATGTGCCAGCAGATGTTGGAATAGAAGAAAAGGATATATTATTAAAAGGATATATTAAAAAAGATTTAATATTCATCCTGTTGTAAATGTAAAAATTCGGCTTTGCAATTGTTTTCTAGGAAGAAAACACATTCAACACATTTTCAGAGAAACACTCGTCTTTGAATACTTGGGAACGTAGTTAAAGGTGCGTCTGCACTAGTGTTGGAGCCTGAAAATTATCCATAAATGTTGCATTTCTTTCTTAATATTAAGGCGAGTTAAGAAATATGCAAAAATGGTAAAACAGTAGCATCAGTTTAAAACACAAATGTGAGGATTGAAGGATTTTAGAAGTTTGGAAAACATGATGAGTGTTTGCTGTGTGGGTGTTTTTACTCTTCAGGCACAGGCTTCTCAGGGGACTACAGTGAATACTTTGGCCTACAGGTGGACGAGGACTCCTTGGTTTACCTGATGCTTGCCAATCACATTCTTCATACCCTTTACCCCGACTGCATCACTGTTGCAGAGGTAAATACACACTCTCCGCCACACACACATCCTCAGCATCCACTTACTTTGCAATGACACTGCCCACAGCTATCATTAATTAGAAGAACTTATTAGTTAGGCATAGCTTACTTATGTATTCATTGCGGTAATTAAGAAGTAATGCAAAAGGAAATGGGATGCCACTCTTTTTTGCCTGTGGTATAGGGATCTCACTGCCTTAACGTGGTGAGCTGTGGAGAGGTATTGATGTGATCTTGGCTGACTGGGAAAGAAACCTGTGCACACAAAGAGAAAATGTGATATTAAACAGGGAGACTTCTCTGCAGGATGTGTCAGGGATGCCTGCTCTCTGCAGACCAGTGGAGGAGGGAGGACTTGGTTTTGATTACCGACTGGCTATGGCTATTCCTGACAAGTGGATCCAGGTAGGGTGATTTACTTCCTTTCAAAAAATCGGCCTCTTTTTGTGCCTTTTGGGTTTTGTTTTCCTCCCCAGCCGCATTTACAGGTGCTGCAGGCCTCTGCTCGCACAGAAACTTCGGCGTGAGCCACAAATAGATAGAAAAGTGGAAGCGTTTCAAAACAGGGATGAAAGACAAAGGGAGTGGCAGGGCTTGTTAGGAACAGTCTTGTGGTAAAGCTGAGCTTATTGCTAAGCTTTTGAGCCTTTAAAGAAACTTGCACACTGTTGCGCTCTGGTGTAATTTGAATGGACAAGGAGGGTTTGATACATCCACAAACTAGATGCAACACGCACAAGGGGAAACGGTACCAACTGAAATATAGGAGCCCACTACAACTAGTTGCATCCTTGGAACAGTTCTTGTTTGCACTTACCCACGATGACAAGAAATGCTACGGACGCCTGCACAATGAGCCTAATTGCAATTCAATAGATCAGCCCAGTGATAAACACCATCTTTGTGAAGCTTATAATGGTCACCTTCTGCCTCGAAAAAGGCTACAAACATTAAAAACCAAATGTAGGTCTCTGAATATAACCTAAGAAAGATTTAAATCAGTGTATTCTATTTATGTATGCTCAAGCTATAAAGTCACATTTGCAATAAATTTAAACCCTTTACGTGATCTTTCTGGATCTGTGAAGAAAATGGTGTAAAGTTTCTTTTCCATGAGACCAGAGAGTCTGCACTTAAGTTTTTTTTCTTCTTCTCTCTTTTCACCTGGAGCTGTGAGTGAGGTTTATGAAGCCGAAGAAGGTCTTTTTCCTTTTCTTTTCTTTTCTTTTTTAAAAGCAGTGCTAATTTATTTTTCTTTTTTCCCCTTCTCCTTAATCCTACCTGCTGCGCAAAGTAGGAAGGTCATTATTTATCCATCCGAACACAGAGCCATGAATAAATGATGGAAGTGACATAATTGTTATTGAAAATAAAAGCATTTGACTTATTCATGCATAATGAATAAGCTGTGCTCACATAAAAATATTTTATGTGAGCAGGGAGAAAAAAAAAAAAGATGAGATTTAATAATGTTAACATGAAGGTCATCCAGTCACTGATCCAGTCTGAAATTTCTTTTGTGATGTGTTTTTTTTTTTTTTTTTTCTTAAGTTGAGCTTTGAATAGGCTGACAGTCGCCTTTACATTTCACTTTATTCATTATTCACTCTGAAATTTCTGTCCTTGGGGTAGCTTTATATGATGTCAAAGCAAAGGTTATTTCTTCAGTTTGAATTCAGTGCTCTGTTGATTTTTTTTTTTTTTTACAACCAGTCAGACAATCTGAATAGTTAAAGATCAGAAACAGTACTATCGCAAGAACAAGAAAAAAGCTCATCCCTTCAGGTTTGTCACCCTCCACTCATTGTCAGGGGAAAAAAAAAAAGATAATTTCAGCTACAGCGAATTAAAGAAGAAAAGAGTCAATTATGGTCATCTAAAATTAGAAAGCTGTAAGGAAGTTAAAAAAAAAATGCGTTTTTTAAAATTAAAATGATAGAGCTTCCATGAATAAATTCACACTGGTATGACAGTTCTAAAATCTGGATTTTGTGAATGACCTCGCCGGATGTCTGATGTGTTTCCAAGCCTAAATGAATTGTAACATTTTATTTGATCCCTTTTTTTTTTTTTCGCTTCAAAAATTTAATGAAAATTACAAAAACCGCGAGAAGGAGTTGTGACATATTGATCTACGAAAATACATTCTGCTTAAAGATTAAATGTGACTTTGAAAAGCAGAAATGGATAAGCTTCAACAGAGAATAGAAAATGAAAATGAGAAAGCTTTAATTTTTTTTTTTCTTTAAGATTTCGTCGTTATCGTGGTTGTTTTGTTGTTTCAACACGAGATGTTCTTTTGATTATTTTAATCGTACTTCTATTACTCCTGTTCTTGCAGTAGAATAGAAAAGAACTCTCTTTTGCCGACATTGTCTTTTGTTTTTCACATTTATCTCAGTTTTGACTGTACTGTAATAAGAAGAAACCTTGTGTGGAAGAGTGAGGTCCTGTGGGAGAATGTCCTGTTGAGTAAACCAGTTTTATTGCCTACTGTCAGAGGTTTTAAGGTTTTCCATGTTTCCTTGAAGGTTACTGTCAGGTTTGCTACACAGCGTAAAGCGCAGCTCTTTGCTCTGCTACCTTCCAGATAAAAGGTAACTAATGTGTACATTCAAACACGAGAGAAAAGCCCGCTGATGGACAGTCTGGTTACTGTACAGAAGGAACTTTATGTCTCTATGTGTTGCTTACCAGGACTTAGGCAGCGAATATTTCTAACATGCTGATAATGCCGACATCAGAGCATCAGGTAGGACAACAACAACAAAAAACACTAGCTTGACTTTTTCCCACAAAAACAACAGAAATATCGAATATTTCTACTAAAACAGTGCTTTCTGTTTCCAGCCATTACTGGGGGGAAAAAAAAAAAAAGTGATAACACAATCCGTTCCCGCCCGACGCTGCTTCAGACTGGATGGGAAATTACGGCCACCAAATATTCTCAGTTCTTCCACAACAACTGTTGAAGCACCCTTTAGCTCGGCACTTCAGCCCAAACTGCCACTGTGAAAGTACTTAATGGCCCACAGTGGGAAAACATTGTTTGTAACTGTTCAGCCATCAGGTATGAAAGTCCATAACGTGGAAGCCGAGCAGCGCCGAGGAAATGTATGCATGCCCAGCCGTCCGTCCGGAGACTAAAATAAATGTTGTTATGCATTTGTTTATCTGAAATTCTTTGCTTGCTGCTGTGTCTGAGGGCATCAGCCTGACGTACATGACCAGACTTTCTCTCAGAAAGCTTCTTTTTTTTTTTGAGTCTTGTCTAGGAGCACTGTGTGCCTCTGCTGGAGAACTTGGATAAATTTACAGTACTTGGGATCAGTACATAACTCATAATTTATTTTCTTGGCCGCCTTGGTGTTTCCTGTAATAATAAAACGACTCCCCATTTATTGTCGGTATGCGGCGGTGTGTTTTTTATGAAATCAACAAATATTACTTTAGAAAGTACATTTGTAGGGACGGAGACAGACAGCGGGTTATCTCGGGGGGGATGTGTCTGACTGTTTGGGTTGGCTGGCGGATGAATGTGGAATATTTTGTGTCCTGTCTCTGTGCGTGCCTTCTCAGAGCAAGAAGAAGCCTTTTCCCGCATTTGAAGAAAAATACGCAGAATGCAAACAGACATCGTCTGTTGTAAGATTCATGTAAAGCTTTTTCCTCCACTAGTCTACGCGGGAAAAGTATTTACTCATATTTTGGTGAAAAAGCAAAGCAGAGTGTGTGACCTCGGCACCGCATGCATCCTCTTGCGCTACAGTTTCTTGTGTTTCTCGATGGGGGAAGTCAATGCATCGTTAATCAAGTCTGTCTCTCACAGCAGTGGGTTTTACTCGGTGGTGAGGATGGAGGGAGGAGAAGAGAGAGGGGAAGAGGAAGGGAAAGGAGGGGGAGAAAAAAAAAAACGAGAGAGAGAGAGAGAGATAGTCCCAGACTTGACCTTCCTCGGTGTTACTTGCGCGAGCTGTGTGTTGCTCCGCCGAGGTTTCACAGGATTATCCTCGGGACGCCTCTGGAGAGGTTGTTGCTGCTTTTACTTTCCAAACAATATTGCTGGCAATGCAATATTTGTTTAGATACTTTCTTTTGGTTGCATTTTTTCAATTAAATTTGTTGCCTCCCTGAGGAGACTTGAAGCCGGAGGAGAGCAAGTGAGCAGTGAAATTCTTGTATTTCTGTGCAGGGAAGCATTCATATGAACATGCCTTGGTATAGTCAGTGAAGTGCACTCAGGGCTAGCCTTGCCTCTTCTCACAGAGTGTCAATTAGGGAGGGATTTGAATGGACTGAAGTGGAGCCTCCAGTGAGGTGTGTGTTGCAGAGAAGGAGATATGGAGTGGGGAGGACAGGCATTCAGGAAGATAGACAGAGGGAGAGAGAGACAGACGGGCAGGAAGAAACAGAAGGAAAGAGAGACAAAGACACAGAGCAACAGAGCTGTGAGCTTATTTATAGATTCACATGTGTGCACCAATGAATTTCTCTCAGTTCCTCGGCTGGGCCCTCACGCTGTGTTTCGTCCTCAGCATGACTGATTGATATGACTCATTTACTGGCTGCAGAAGGCTGTTAGGACCAACAGACTGTGAAAAATTAAGATATCCTAATGAGAAGACCAGATAAGGCGCACAGCACAAGTTTGGATGATTCGATCTGATTATGACCATAAAATGCTGTCACTCCTAATGGATAATGTTACAAAAGCCCTCTAATTTAACAAGCACCCTTCCCTCCAGCTACAATAGATTGAGATGTAATTGAAACAATTAGAGGCGGAGGAGGTAGAGGGCTCCATGGTAGCAGCTTGGATAAAAGAAGGTGATGCAGAGAATTCTCCGGCATCCCTCTGCTTCTCTCAGCTGTTCAACTTGAATGACCTCTGAGTCAATTGTCCCAATTTTTGTTTCTGTTCCTCCATTTATTTTAATTGAATGAAAATATCAGTCTGCACAGCTCTCTTCTTATTAGTTTCCAGGGGAAAAAAAATCCATTTCTAGTCCACATACTTTGCTCTGTCCATCACACCAGAAACACTTTCAATTAACATGACTTCTTTTTAAAAAAAAATAAATAAAAAATCGAGGCTGCTGGCAAGCAAAGACGAACTTCAGCTTGTTTATGTAAACATGTCAGCGGTTTCATCGGCCGCCTTTAAAGGGCGCCCACTCTCTTTGACCCCCCTCTGCTAGTGTCACCCTCTACTTGCGTGCTTTAATAGCAGCAGAATTTCAGCTCCGGTTTGCTTTATTTTATTAGCTAATTGCACTCTCAGGCCACCCTTGTGTGGTGTTAACTTGTGGCGCAGGATTTCTTTCGCAAAGGAAAAAAAAAACTGCGAGGTGAGCCCAGGAGAGGCTTTCAGCTGAGCGAGAGCCCACAGCGGAGACATTTCTGTGGGCAGAAAGTTCATTAATTCCTCAAACTGCGAAAAAACATAAAGACGGCGAGACAATATCGCGATCCGTGGGACCGAAGGGGGGCCGCACACCTCGGTTCCTCCGCTCACCTCCGGGGTCAGCGGCGGATGTGTGAGGAGATGATGTCCCCATAGCAACGCAAACTCGGTCCCCGGTGGATGGTGTTTGCAAAGACGGGCGAAGGCATGATGCTGGGGCCAGCCACCAAATGTAAAACAAGAGCTTTGCGCTAAACTCGTCTCTGCCACCGGCGTCCTTCCCAGCACCATGCGACGGGAGCAGAGAGCCTCTTGAATCAGTCACANCGTGTCAGTGGCAGCGAGATGACCTCATCCTGCACTGAGAGATTTTTTTTTTTCTCTTTCTCTTTTTTTTTTTTTTTTATTTTATTTCTGGCTCTGCCTAATTAATCTGGGCACTCTGGTTGGCTCCTGACAGCAGGCTTGTAAAGTAAGATTTGTGCACTGCTCATTATCATTGATGAAGTGGAGTGTCAGTGGTGCCAGGAAGCTCGGCTGGTCGGGGCTGATGTGGGTGAGCTGGTGGTAGGGAAGTCGTCAACCCATTCACTCCTGTCTCCGCTCCGACAGTCCCACTCCCAGATTAATTGCTCCCAGACCACTTTTGCGGTTGAATTGAATTGTAATGATTCATAAGGAAGTGTAAAATGTCTGATTGTACGTGGATGTGGAGGCAGCCAGAAGGATCTCGGGGGTATTTCCTGTAGATTCAGTTGTTTAGTTTTTATATTGGAGCTGGTGGTGGGGAAGGAAAAAAAAAAAAAAAGAAACCAGTCTTTGGAGGATTTATTTATTTCCAGCTCCTGTTGCCTTCTAGGTTTAGCTGTAGGGGTGAAATTCATATTTAAACTTTGTATTATAGTGTGGGGTGCTACCAAACCACCATCGCTAACAAGATAGTTTTTCATTCAGACGTGTCTTGAGAATTGTAACAAGTAGCTACGGCCGGTCTGTCTTTTTTTTCTAAGGAATGTAATTTGTCAGCTGACATTTTTATTACTTTTCCCACTTGTATTTGTGTATATGTGCCTACATGCACATGATAATCCCTGATGTTTTTCTTCCATATGTCTTTTTTTTCTCCTTATGGGGTTAGTTTTTATTCATAACATCATTAATCTAAAGCTAAGAAGCTGTCTGTTTGGTGGTATGACTTGCACATGCGAGATTTTAATGAATAATGCCAAATAACATGCTTCATTTTTTACCTTGTATTCAAAATTTTGCATTTTCGTCTTTGATTGTAAACTGTCAGGAGACTTGGTGGTTTCCTTCCTTCTTTAACTTTAAATATTTCTCTTTTATTGCTAAATATTCAAGACTAAAAATATGAATTTAACAGTTAAAACACCAGGAAATATATAGTAATGTTTAATAAATTAAAAAGCTTTTTCTCCTTTACGAAAACTACAGTAGATGGTACGTCATTAGAGGCCTAATGTGCTTTGATAATCATCCCTAAGTTAAAGACGAACCAGCAAGGCTCAGGTTGAGGATCAGAGGAGGAGGAGGAGGAGGTGCATTAAGGTCCTTCATGTATAGATGATAAGTGCCCTGCCGAGGTTTTTTGGTGGCATTGGCGATGACTAATATGGCCACACAAGGCTAAGGTGAAAAAGAGTGAATGTGAACAGATGGTGATATATAGAGCGGGATAGCCTCTATTTAGGTGGACCAGCCAGTTCATCTCAGACATATTGATCGGCACAATTTACTCTCTTTACTCAGAGGATTATGGCTCTGTAGAGTAATATAAAGGTTTCCTGACATGTCAATCAGCTGTCACTGCCAATTCCGCCGAGCAGACTTCAGCCTGTCACTGAAATGGGTTCGCCAACTCCCCCACCGCTCAGACAGGCTGCAAGTCTATTGCCAAGGGTTCTTGGAGGGCATAAAGTCTTTTTTTTTTTTTTTTTTTTCCATTTAGAAATGATACTGATACTGTGGCTTTCGAGCATCTCTCTTGTTTATTAAATCATCTCTGACCCCACTGCAGCACAAATGGTTATTTTTACTCTGCCCTCTGCTATTATATTTTTGTGTAACTTTTAGTGATTAGGAGCAGTCAGTGTGACTGCACAGCAGCAATGTGTGGGAAGATGTGCTTCGGATGCACGCTTTACTGACCCCCCGTTTCCTTCCGACCTCTGGAAATGACTCCTTTGGCAGGAAGTGTGCATGTAGGCAGGCCAGCAGAGGGGCATTGATTCCATGGTTGGATTTATTGTTGAATCCCTCCGTTTGGATGAGAGGCTCTGACCTTGCCCATCTCAGGTGGGGAGAGCTGATGCCTTACTACCCATGGGCTGTAGTGAAGTTATTAAAAACTCCATTACCACCATTCAAAGGTAGACATAACTCACAGTGCGGATATAGAGATGTCAAAACAGAGATTGATCTGAGAAAGAAGTGTAACCCAGAGAAAACTTAAGAAAGGTAAAAGACTGCCAGGACTGAAATACTGAGCTTTAGGCATCCATCAGAGCCTGAATAGATCTCTCAGCCACACATCTATCATACCCTTTTTCAATAACCCCTCTCTGTCACTGTGAAGATCCTGAAGGAGTTTAAGGATGAGGACTGGAACATGGGCAACATCTCCCACACACTGACCAACAGGCGATATGGAGAGAAGTGCATAGCCTATGCAGAAAGTCATGACCAGGTAAGCTGTTCTGCACCGTCTTGCTTTACAGAGCGGCTATTTTTCTCCGGTGTGAATGACGAAACATAACCTGCGTTTTTCAGGCTCTGGTCGGCGATAAGACCCTGGCCTTCTGGTTAATGGACAAGGAGATGTACACCAACATGAGCTCTATGATTCCCATGAGTTCTGTCATCAACCGCGGCATGCAGCTGCACAAGATGATCCGGCTAATCGTACATGGGCTGGGTGGGGAAGGCTACCTCAACTTCATGGGTGAGTCATCGGAGTAGCTCAAGGAGATGCTGCAGCAGAGTTTCCATTACACCAGCATAATATCTCGCTTTACTCCACTGACATAAAATTAGATGATCATTTTTTTTGTTCAGCTTTCACATCCTGCATCTTACGCCAAAACAAATCCGATTACACCACGCCGTCTGATTCGACCGTGCTATTATGTAATCATGCCGCATGTCTACATGGTTCCACTTGCATTGAAATGCTGGACGGCCAAGAGGTGATGAAGGTCATTATTGTGAGGCAGCAGTCCTCTGTTTGGTTTATTTTTTATTAAAACAGGCAAGGTGAATCATTTCAGATCCCTCTCATGTACTGCATTCTACCTGAATTTGAACTTCTCCCCTCAGGCAGACACAACAATCACTAAGTGTTCACTGAACAGATATAAATACGCATTTATTCTCCTGTCCATCCAAGTCTTACACCGGCAACACGCAGAAACAGGCTCCGGGATAAATATTTAATTGATAAGGCTATCCCTGCTGTGTTCATTTGCACTACTGTTAGAGGCGTTATCTTTTTTAGCTATAGTCATTTATTTTTGCACACATCCTTGTGTCATAGTGTGTTTTTTAGCTTCAGGGTAAAATTGAAAAACAGATTTTGCCTTTTCAATAATAAACATATGCTAATTTCGCGAAGGCTTAAAATATCTCAGAGTAGCTCACTTATTTTTCATTTGGGTAAAGTGCTCAGTTATATGATTTGTTATATTTCTTTCATGGAATATATCTCTGGAGTAGCTTGCTACCAATGAGTCAAGGCTGATGATAAGCATCAAAGAAACCTTTTGAAGTGGGGTTGACATCACTTTCCAGAGCTGATGGTGAAATACAGGACAAAAGCTGTCTAAGATCAGATAGGTTCTTTTTTTTTTTCCCCCTCAAATGGATCCAATTCTCAGTCACTGCTGGGATGTCTTGCATTTTTAGGTCATCATTTGGGCAAGGGCATGACTTTATCAAGGCCTGCTGGTAAAGATGATGATGAAGTGATAATTAATGATGTTGGAAGTTGACCTTGGTTGAACGGAATGCGTTTCCTTGAATGTGGTTTAATGTAAATATATCGCCTATATAGTCCCACCTGAGATCCACAGCATTTTAGCTCCACCTGCTGACCAGGTGCTCCGGTCAAACAGTCGAAGTGTCTCCTCTTATTACCTGTGCTCCCTTCTTTGGATTCATTATCAGTCAGTTATTCACCTCAACGTTCGGTAATACTTAAAGAAAAAAAAAAAAAAAAACACCTTGTGAAGTTCTGCTAAGTGGATTGATGTGTGGGGGGGGGAACAGAGGCACAATCAAAACAGCTGTTCTCCGCGGACAATCATAACAGGGCAGCTTATAATGATTAGAATGTCAGAGAATTGACCCCATGTGGGCAGCTGAAGGACAGTTGATAGTAATTATATCTCATTCTCTGGCTAAAGTGTAGCTCAAAGGCACTCTCTGCTGCACTCTCGCTGCTTTGTCTCGCATGGATTTTTTGGTGCCACATTTACTTTCAACCAATCAGTTGAGTTTTAGAATCACAAGGAGCTGATGAGTGGAAAACAATACTTTAAAAGCGGTTTTGACGATGGTTTCATTTGCCCGCCGTTGGGAAAAACACTACAAACTGTGCTCGCTTACCAGCTTTACCTTTTAACCCATTCTTGCATAATTTGATCTTTTAATAACCACAAACATATACGACAGTTAAAGGACGATCTTTTACGGATGTCTAGTCTCAGTTGACGGCTGATTTAGGCACCGGCTCACTAACAAAGGGACCCGAAATAGTCATTGTGTTATATTTTTTGCAGAACAAAATGCGTCAGTCCGGCTAAATAAGGAAAGAATAAGTGGGCATGTAGCTCGTAATATTATTGTGTTTACAGTGGAATGAAAGCATAAGTAGAGCATTTGGAATAATCTACATTTATTAATACATAAAGCACAGTCTGCTTCTACTAATAACACGCAGATCATTGTGTTGTTCTTCTCGTTATTGATATCAATATTCTAAGTTGGGGAAGACGTATGCGAAGCCATAGACTAATGAGAAAATCACCAAAACCTTGTTAGTGAACTTAGAGTGAACTACTTTGGGATATACTTACATAATAAACAAACACAGTGCAGTTTGCTATTCACAAGACGCATCTACTGTTGCGAGCCACGGCTTGAGAAAGAAACAGATCTCAAGAATTGAAGCAAATAGTTTATAAATGAAGACGATGCAGAACTGTCTCTGCTCTCCATTGATCTGTGCAGGCAGCTGAGATGACTCTAAAAGCACAATGCAGAATGCTCAGATAAACAAAAAAAAAACATCCCAGAGTAACAGCTAAAGGCTTAAAAGAAACGCTGAACCTGCTTAACATCTGCCTTCACAAATCTTCCATACCGTCCCCGTCTCCTGTCGCTGTCTAGAAACGACACTTCAGTGTAGCTGAGTTGTTTTCTCAATTACATAAGTAAGTGTGCCAAGTAATCTGTGGCTAAATTATGTTCAGAAGCAATGACTTATTTTCGAATGAATGATATGCTACATTTATCAGCGGCATCAGAGTCGGCGTGACGTTCAGGGCGGAAGGCGGCAGTCACACCAGAAACCAGGGTTTGCATCCAGATTCTTGTCTGTAGCAGCAAAAGAACTCTTTAAAATGAAAATAAAGTGGAGCTTTCCACCGTCAAGGATGAAATAAATTCCCAGGTTTGTTAAGGTATGGTGCCAGAAGAAGTCAGGGTGGCCGTTAGTTTTAAATCTCCAGATCAAACATAATTCTTCTTGCTGCTGCAGTCTGAAACAGTCTGGACAGGAAACCTTTTTAATACCAATTTTACTGCAGGAACTGCTGCATGGATCATATGTCAAATCCCTCACCCCCCCTGTAATTTCTGTTGTCTTCGAAGTGGTTACAAGGAAGGTTTGTTATTGTGATGAAGTTTTTGATGCAGTTATAATCCTTTCGCAAGCTGTGACTTTCCAATTTTTACTTTTGTATACATTTTGTCTCATAGATTTGGAGAAAAAAAACAAAGACAGAGAAGGGAAAAGGAAAATAAATAAAATAAAATATCCCTCTTCAAAAGGATTTCAGCTAATTATGTTCCATTTTCTTAATTCAGAGTTTTGGAGAATCACTCAGATAAATAAGCACAATTCAAACTTTAATGCACTTTATTCTGTCAACTCATGCTCGGTGGTTTGAAGAGATATGGAAAGAAGACCAGTATCAAGGAAGCAGAGAGACGAATACTGTTCTCTTTTGAAAACTGCTGTCTGACTGACTAAAATAATGGAGCTATCATGTTGTGATAACAGAAATAATGGATGAAAGTTTTTTTTTTTTTTGGAAGAACACGAAATCAGAGAACTGGGGAAAAAAAAAAAGTTTCAAAAAATCTGCAAAGACACACGGCACTGAAGTTCACCACTGAAAACTTTGCAAAGTTCAGGCCATTAGATGAGCATTAGGGAAATGCTCAAGAAAAGAAAATCAAGTAAATCTGAGATGACATGCCGTGTCAATGGATCAATGATGGCAGAGTCATTTAGCCAGTACTGAGCAAGAGCAAATTGTTTGAGCAAGCAAATCAATTTGAAGTGCCTTGCCTAGAAAAACCCATTTATTTACTCATGACCAATAGCAAACACCACACAGCAAGAGGACAAAGGGAGCATCCGCATTTGAGGTGCTGAGAGACGGATACTGTAAAGGATGTTGGAGCGTCAATGACATTAAAGCTCCAAGTGGCGTGGCAGTAATGAAACGCCTCAGTGGTTTTATCATTATATCAGCAGGGACAAAATGGAAGTGCTCGCACTTCCTGACTTTCAGGGGCTCACAGAGACTTAAGATAACCTTGCAGATTTACAGTCTAAATTATTGAGCTAAAAACTTCTCCCGGCACTTTGCATTCATGGAGAGCTACGGTGCAACAGGCAACTATTATACTGCAGCCTTGGACAATGAATTGAAAACCGGTGCTTCCTCCTCATACATTTCAAATACATAATCCCACTGAGAGCTTGCTGTGCTTTCAGGCCTGTGGTTTCGGACGAATGTGCCAATCACACTTCTGCTGTTGGACCACTAATGCTTATTTAATGCGCAAACTGGGAGTGGGAATGTACATTAACACAGTAACAAGAAATCAATCCGGCAAGTGCAAATAATCATTGCATCATGTCTGCAGCTTTTTTTTTTTTTTGCTTTTTTTTTTTTGCACTGCATCGAAAACCTTCTGTGACTCTCGCCTTCCCATCCCCTCTGATTCCCTCATTGATCTTCCTTTGCCAGAATCCCTCCAATGGAAAACACATTGATCCTTGGCTCCTTCTTGTGCTGCTAATTACTGAGGGGACTGTGTCACAGTCAGGCCCTTATCTGATGCAGGGCTGTGTAGAGGAGTAATGGGACGTGCCATCTGAAAAGCTGTCTGACATAACCTTTTGTAAACATAGTTGCCCCCCATTAATCATATCATTATTGGATCTACCATGAATTTAATCATCAACGTTATCCAACAAGCTTTTTTGGGATTTTTTCCACCCTTTGGTACTGGTGCAAAATCTTAGTAGAACCAATTTTTTTTTCTCATTTTATTAATATATTTTTCTTACAGCCATCCTAGTGGATCTGTGAGGCTGTGTTTGTAGCTACAGCGGCGATTTAAACTGAACTTTAGCATACGTACATGCTATTTACCCTGCTCTCCGTCTTATATTTCAGTCTGGCGTTGGAGCGACTCGAGCATGGCTAACAAGTGTTTTTCCCCTTAAAGGATCAACAATCTGGGCTTCTGAGTTTTGGTCATCGGTCTTATCAGTAGTAAGGTTCATTTCTGAGATCACAGCAGCAACATCACTAAAGAGAACTCAAAAAAAAGCAAGAGCAGTCCAATCATACAGGTTTTTAAACAAACCCCCCCAGGTACGCCAGACTTGTTTGGAGGAGAAAACAAACAGCAGACAATAAAACT